TTTTCGTGGCGCCCGTCGACACATGCGAAGCCATCGTTTACATGTCAAGTCATCCTGTCAACACCCATCTCCGCATCGCCGGCGTCCGCGCCATGTTCGTGTTCCACGAACGGACATCATCTTGCAGCAGCAAGGACAACTTCGAGAGGAACGTCGTCGACGCGCCAAAGGTGCTGCTGTCCCCGCAACGACAGGTCCCTCCCCCGTTCGATTTGGGCACGTGTACACAATGGCTGGCGTGCACGCGTGCGACGCGCAAACGAACCGTGAGAAACCACGGGCGACGCCGATGAATGTCCCAATTCCACTCAAACTCGTCGACGTGGATGGCATCCCGACGACCTCGACACCGCGCGGACACCACCTGACTCCATGATCGCCTACCTCGCTCTCCGTCGCAGATCTCGTTGCGTCGGTCGACGACGGGCACATGGCCGCCGCCGTCGTCGCTGGGAATGGATGCATGGGTCATCGAACTTAGTGGAGTGCAGGCCGCCGACACGACCACGCGAGGACACACATGGACATCATGGCGTATTTTAATCCATCCGAGGCGTTTCAAATCGAAAACCCGCACGAGATTCTATTGTATCGAACGACTTCCGTCGCCAATTCTGTAGTCCCACGAACATAGGCTGGTGTTCCTCTATACCATGTCAACCGCCCTTCCGTCGCAATTCGAACCTGCCCAAGCGCCTGTGGCCGTCATTTTCCGACGTCGCGGCCCACGAAGATGGTCCGGTTCACGGCGATCATCGGCCATGAGAACGTAACGACGAACGGAAGCAAGCACACAGCATACATCCTGGAGGTGCAGATCGACAATCTGTTCTACATTGTGCGCCACCGGTACCACGAGTTCAAGGACCTGCACGACACAGTACGGACGAGACATGGTGATGGCGCGGGACGACTGATCGTGTGTGTGTGTCGTAGCTGGTCAAGGAAGGGTACAAGTGCAATGCTGTCCCGCCCAAGAAACTCATCGGGTCGTTCAACCCGGACTTCATCCTGAAGCGCGAGAAGGAGCTGAGCGCGTGGCTCCTCCAAGTGTGCGAGTCGCCGGCGTCGTCGAGCGAAGCACTCAAGAGCTTTCTGCTGGAATACGTACGACCAATTCGGGTGACAGTTTGCGTGAGAACACCGACACCGTTGTAGAAAGAACCGCGCATGGTGCTGCCGCCAACCGATGTCACAGTCAACCAAGTGCCCCGACCCCCGCCCGCCGTGCCGACCAACGTGGCGGTCGCGGCGCCGCCTTCGGACACCGCCACGGACGAAGAGCTCGAGAAGGAAATCGAGGACGAAATTGCGCTCTACAACACGCCCAAGACGTCCATCGACGACTTTGAGCTGCTCAAGGTCATCGGGAAAGGCAGCTACGGCAAGGTGACTCTCGTCCGCAAAAAAGACAACAGCAAGTTGTTCGCCATGAAGACGCTCAACAAGTCGAACGTGAAGCGGCGCAACCAGGTCGAGCACACGCGGACAGAGCGCCGCGTCCTCGGCTTTGGCAAGCATCCCTACATTGGTAGGTCGCGCCGTGA